AGGAGGAGGAGGAGGAGGAGAAGTGGCGATTGAATCATTGGAATTCTGAGCATTCTCATCGTCATTAGTGGAGAGTAAATGTTGGTGAATTGCAAGGTGATGCAATGAATGTGGTGAAGGAAGAGTGGGGAAAGAAGGAGATGGAGCTAAAGTGGAAAGAGGCGTAGAAGTAGAGGTCGAAGTAGAAGGAGATTGAGGAGGTGAATGAGGCGAAGACAAATGAGACAAAGGAGAAGTGAGATCACGAGGAGACTTGTTGGTGTTTGCAGGAAGTAATTGTGCTGTGAAAAGTATACAATATGGCAGTATGGAAGTGTCAATGTGGACAATCGATAAATTGCAAAGCGTGTCAATTTATGGCACACCTTCAAAAAACCAAGGTATCGGCCATCTGCCAACAATGACGTGACATCGATATAAATTTTGGTGACCTCATAAAAGATAAAATTTTACAACGAAACAATTGCTACATCACCTCATCCGTGACCCCCAGTGACCTAATTCAGTTTACATGGCAACGAAATACACTGACCAATTGAGAATGATTTTCATTGCTACTGTATATACCAAATATATATGTAGCCCGACGAATGATACTAATGCCATAAAGAAACTGTTATACTTGCTGTAAACATGTCTTCCTCTCACGCACGAATTTCTCCAAACAAATGCAAAAGCACAATTACTTCCTGCAAACACCAACAAGTCTCCTCGTGATCTCACTTCTTTTTTGTCTCATTTGTCTTCGCCTCATTCACCTCCTCAATCTCCTTCTACTTCGACCTCTACTTCTACGCCTCTTTCCACTTTAGCTCCATCTCCTTCTTTCCCCACTCTTCCTTCACCACATTCATTGCATCACCTTGCAATTCATCAACATTTACTCTCCACTAATGACGATGAGAATGCTCAGAATTCCAATGATTCAATCGCCACTTCTCCTCCTCCTCCTCCTCCTCCTTGCCCTCTTCCCTCTCCTACGTCACCTCCAATTCTCATTCCCACTCGCATGCCTCCTCCTTCTACCACATCTCCTCCTTCATCATTCCACCCTTCAAACTCTACCACACACTCACAAATATCCCAGTCCGCACACAACACACAACACACCTCAGTTCTACAGTTGAATACATCCCTACTCTCAATCACCGCCACAACCACCACCAACTCCAACACCACCACTTTCACTATCATCCACACCTACACATCTACACTCACATCCACCTCACCATCACTCTCCACCTCCACCCCAACTTCCACATCCGTCTCATCACTCACCGCTACCACCACTTCCTCAAACTCCTCATCCATCTCTTCATTCCACTCTTCACTCTCCACCTCCGAAGTTACACATTTCTCCATTTCGTCTATTCAAAACACCATGACACGCACCACTCCACTCACTCGCAAGCACACACACACTGCTTGTGTGTCTTTCGTTCTTCCACTCTGATCAACCGTGATGCGACCAGCGTCCTGTTTTCTTTCAATTCCTCAAGGTGTTTAGACCAAAACTCTTCCACTCTGATCAACCGTGATGCGACCAGCGTCCTGTTTTCTTTCAATTCCTCAAGGTGTTTAGACCAAAACACTCGATAGTGTTTGGTCTGGCCTCGGGGAATATTTTTTTTGCACATCTCATATCATTGCAAAGTTTGTCAGGATGTTGTGTGAAGTTGAGGGGACTTGTGTTAAGTTCATTCTCCAAAAGGTTTGAGAATCTAAGCCACTCAGCTTTCTTGAATTTCTATGATAGCTTAGTTGGCACTTTCCTTGTCGTCCTTTTGCTGCCGATGGTAATACTAGCAATAGCTGTTTTGTGACTAGAATTGGGATCGACAATAATTTTGCGGCGTTTACGCTCGCTGATGTCGATGATGTTAGCTTTCTTGATGACTATGCAAATAATAGTTACCGCAAGACCACTTCATTTGCTCTGGTACAGCCGTTTCCAAGGTTAGTGCTAATTTCAACTCACTTATCCTATTCTCACTATCTCACATCTTTATTTATTGAAAGGCATCTTGGTAATGTTAGCTATAGAAACGCCTCCTCAGCTTCCAATACAAAATAAATTTGGCCAAATTCGATCAAATGTAATTTTGTCGCACTTTTGAAGCAGATTGCTACACAAATAAGTCATGCGTTATCCACAGTAAGTATCGTGGTTTGTTAAGGCTACTAGAATTAGTTAACCTGGCTTCAGAATTGGTTTCTTGTGAGAAAAACGTTTACTGGATTTTACTATCA